ATAGTAACACCTGCAGTTACCCCGAGCCACTCCAGTGCAAATCTCCACAAATGGCCCAAATTAAATATTAAAGAGAGGAGAGAATAAAGTAAACCAGAGGCAGCTCCTCAATTCAACCAAATTTCAAACAAATAAGACAAAGCTTCCTACTTTCTTCTAAGTGAAATTACCCTCCAGCATTCACTTCTCTGGCAACAGCAAAATCTAATAAAAATTCTAAGGGCCCCGATTCTTACATTAAAGCACCATGAATTATTTCAACTAGAAAACAACAAAAACACGGCCTATCCTTTTATATCAAACTAGGGCTTACTCAAATACCAAGCAAGGTTAAATTCGAAAAATAAATTACAGAATGAATAAACCCCTCGTTGAACAAGAGAGAAACCCTTCAAACCATAGAATCAAAAACTTCAAAAACCGTAACGAAATTTGACCTCACAGTTCAACCCCAACTCCCCTCCTCTCGTTAAGGAAAAAAACCCTTCAACCATTCAAACCCCACAGGAAATGAGAGCAAATTTGAACTGCTTCCAGATCTGATAACACAACCCAGCACACAAACAAAAAAGAACGGATAACTTTTAAAGCCCCGAAATTTTTTGGGGAACAAAATCACACAGCTAGGGTTTCTTCTGGCAAAAAAGAGTAAACCTCTGTTTGGACCGTTCGTTTATTCACTCCATTTTTTCCTTTTTCGCTCCCTGTCGCAGTTGACACTATCCTGTACTTTTTTGTTGCCCCTTTTAACTTTCTACACTGTTATTATGCGAAACAATTCTCATGAATGAGACAGAGTAACTGCTGCTTAACATGTGATCAAAACTTCAAAATCATTTCTTCGTTTTTCATTATTCCGACAAAAAATCTTTTTGGTGTTAATTTAATGTATTTTATTTTTAATATTTTAGTATTTTCTAATTTTTAATCAATTAGGAATATTTTTGGATTTTTTTTTTCTTTTTGCGAAATATTTTTGGTTATTTTTTTTGGTACAAAGGAGATGTTATCGTGCTCTAGCTAGGAATGACACCGGACGGTGGAGCTAAAAGATGATGAAGCGCGAGAGAACTTGAGGCTGCCTGAGACGCCAAATAATCCGCTGCAAATTTCGCCTCGCGACCAGTCCCAACTAAGTAGTTCTCTTATACTTAAAACCAAGCCCGAATGAACATCAGTTATATCTTTTGTGTTATTTGCAAAGCCCACGACGTTGGCATTGTCGACTTCCAGTGCAACATGACGATATCTCATATCCCAAGCCATACGAAGACCATGAAGTAACCCCCACAGCTCTGCTCCAATGATAGAGCACAACCCAATATTCATCGTGAAACCACCGAGCCATCTACCATGAGTATCTCGAATTAGCCCACCAGCATAAGTAATACCCGAGGATTTGTTATGAGCCCCATCCGAATTCACTTTAACCCAAGACGTCGGTGGTGCCTCCCAATGGATAAGACGCGGTACTCTAGAGGCACTAATGCCTCCAAGTTTCTGATCGCCTTGTGCAAAATGCAGAACACCATAAACAAAGTTTCTGATATCATTTACTTTACTGTTGGCCTCCATCCCATGACTCTGAAAAATAGCAACATTTCGCCAATGCCATAATTTCCATAAGGTCACTGATTGTTAGTTATAGCCATAAGCTTATTAAGCATAAGTGAGAGATTGTTAGATATGTTGTAAAAGCTTGGCTTTTAGATATAAACAATTCCATTTTGATCTGGTAATCGTTTTTAGTCAAAATATTTATGTTTACAGTTTATTTATTTATGCAATCATAACTCCATTATTTTACATTGTAGATAATATGGTTCGTCGTGTCGAACAGTAAGATCATATTATAGGTTCCTTGTAAAATATAAATTAGTTGTTCACAGTTTAGACAGTAGTGAAACCCCTGTTGGATAAAGACTATAGTGTAGTCTTGATTCAATTGATCTTTGACTGATGGATTACACTAGTGCTTATGACAAGTATTGAACGGACTGCGAAAGGATAAGATTATAAGATTTATTGATCGTTGTTATAATCTAGACCATAAGTGATTAATGTGTTCTCTTAAGCTGTAAGATAATATAAAAATGGCATATATATTCATTACTTATTTATTTGATTTAACTGATATGTTTCTTGTCTTAATTTTATTTTCTTACTCTTGATTAATATAAATGGGATTTTTAAGCTATCTATATAACTAGTGCATAAAGTAATATTAAATTATTTTTTTAAGTTAAATGCTAGACTAAACGATCATGTTAAGTTATTTTTAAAAATTAAATGTTGGACTTAACGAACAAAATTTAAATGTTGGACTTAACGAACATAGTAAGCAGTTGAATAAACCTAATACTAATACTAAAGTGATTTTGTACGTAGCATTCCAAGGTATACAAATAAATTATTAGTATGTATATTTTTTTGAGATCACACGCAAAATACTGGTACGTATACACACAAAATATATATATTCCGGCTAGTTAATGAGTTGTAATTATATATTTTATTAATAAATTTACCGTCTCGAAAAAAGAAATATTATCGCTCACTTTAAAAGATTGACTCACTAATTAGTAAGTCTATACAAATAATTATACTTCGAATTAATGTAATAATATATCATCGCATATATTTCTCATATAAACATATACAAAAAAAAATTGATGAAATTTTGAAAAGTCAGTCGATTGTTAGAGGTGTGATTGGTTATAAATTCAACAAAAAAAAAATAATCAAAACTCAAATTTAACTCAATTTCACTATCCTCAATATTGCAAATATAATTAAATAATATCAATCAAATATTCTTAACATCACATGAACTTTAATTTACTATCAATTTACACACATAATTTTAACTAACTATCACGTCTAATCACTTTCATCTTACTTTACATCAAATAAATTGTAATTATTTTATTTTTAATAATTTTTTAATTTAAACTTAAATTCTCACAACAACTAATCATTCAATTTTTTAAAAATTAACTGTGATTAAAATAAAACCAATTAAATCTATATACAATCTATTTCCAATCACACCTTAATTGATTTAAGTACCTAGAGATGTTCGAAATTAGCTTTTCGAAGATAAGTTGCGTCGGTTGGTCTACCCAATAAGATGTGTCTGATGGGCTCTTATGTAAATGTGCGCGTGGAGGCACTGTCTTATGCTAGCATGAAATAAGCAGGTGCAAGAATAAAACTACTTCGATATAATTGTTTGACATAAATCATGATTATAAACTATTGTGTACATTTAGTAGTTGTTAATTTTAAAAGTAACATAATGTATAAAGTAATAGAATTGTGACACGTATTATTATTTAAGTTTTACGTTATCTTTTATATCACTCTAGCATGATTCGAGATATAATGATGTATGAATATTGTTAAATTCATGATATTTGCACGTTTCACTTCACTTTTGGTGGGTTATATGGTATTTTTGTGTTTGATGATTGGTAGTAATCAAAATGGACTTTTGACTTATTTACTTTTTAATTACAAATCTTCAAATCTTCATCTCTATGTATTCATGAATGGATTTTGTTTAATTGTTTTGTTTCTTATCGTTTTCATTTCAAAATAACATATATCATATTTCATTCTATTCAAAATGAGATAATGTACGTTATTTATATTTACCTAATCACCAATATTTAGTATTTTGCTTCAATCGACAAAATAAGTATTATCGAATTAGCAAATATAATAACATATATAAAATTTATATTAAATAAAAATTTTAAAATAATTATATTTATTACATTTCAACTTTTTATAAAATAAATATAAAATTACGGATTAATAATTTAATTTTAAGGCAATAATTATTTTCTCTATTATTTTACATATATGTTGAATTTTGTATCCATGACCCGATTTTGCAGTATTTTTAGTAATATCGTAGATCCGTATTTTTGTATATTCATTTAAACAAGACAAATGCCAGCATTATCAATAGAAACTACATGAAATAATTACAAATTAGACAATTGCTAATTGCTAAGATCATGCACAATGGGTCTAATTTTGCTTATGTGGTATGTAAACAGTCCAAAGTCTTAAATGACATGGATAAAATTATATAAAAGTTACACATTTCACTCCAATGCAAAGAGACTGGGTCTTTTGAGTCTACTCAGTCTACTTTTTTTTGCATTGAATAATATATTTTTTTAGACTGAGTCTATTTCTTAGGTGACATTTAATTTTGTTTGGATGAACCCAAACATGGTAGATGCTCTAATACTGTTAAACCACAAACTAACTCTCACATGAAAGGGGTTTAAAACTCCAATAGAAACGTAAAAAAATTGAGAATAGCTAATTACAAAAAAATAAAATAAAACACACCCACATCCGATCGGATTTCTACTCCTACAAATACCTTACACCAACATAAAAGGATACAAATTTAAGGAGAAAACCACCAACAGCGAGATTTTTTTTTTAAAAAAAGAAAAAAGAAAAATCAGGACCACCTAATTTCCAGATTCCTTCTTCAGCCATAGTTATGGCATTGTACAAGTGACCCTCGTACTAACAAAAAAAACCTGCTTGGCGCCTCATTATTTAATGAAAAAAAAAACAAGGAAAAAACTTGATTTTATTTTTTTCAAAATTGGTAATTAATTAATTAAACCCTTATTTATAAACCCCAAGTTTCCTTGCAGCCCAAAACTTTCTTCCGGCTATGGAAGTTTGATTCCTTCACAATCTCCTCCAAAGGAACGTACCAAGTTTTTTTTTGTCCCACAAAAAAAAAAAAGGAAATCCTCTCCAAAAACCTCTCCTTCTCCGAACTCTATCTAGCTGCGCTCGGCGGCGGAAAGAAGAAGCAGAGGAAGAGGAACACCGTCCTACCAGTTTCCCGTCGGAACCCGGCCAAGGCCTCCGTGTCCGCTGGTCCCGATTTTACTTTCTTGGCGGCAATCCCTCCCTCCCCCTTTTTTTTTCTTAGTTACGATTGTTGATTTTCCCGCCAAATGGCTCGCGGGGTCCCAAAGCAGAAGACGGGGCGGCGGCAGCGGCAGCGGCTCGAGTGGCAGCCCGCCGTGCCGCACCTGATCCCCGGCGGCGCCGAGTACCGCCCCGGCGCCGTCCGCGAGTACCTCGACGCGCTCGCGTCGGACAGAAAGAAATCCTCCCTCGAGATCCTCACGAACGTCCGCAAGCACCTCCTCTACTCCGGTTGGAAAATCGACTTCGTTCTCGCCGGCGAGCTGATCAAGCTCCGCTACTCCTCCCCCGCCGGAAAATCCTTCTACTCCCTTCCGCAGGTCTGCGCCTCCTTCATCGACACCCGCTCGTCCAAAACCCCGATTTCCTCTCCCTTCTCCGAAGTTTCCAGTACTAAATCGCCCGAGTTTTTCAAACCGGGCGACGAGGTCACGATCGAACCCGAATATTGCCCTGAGGCCGTCTCTGATTACTGCTCGAATAGCAGTGAAATGGGGTGGAAGCCCGGAGCCATGAAAGCTAAGCAGCACTTATCAGCTCTCGGGTGGTCTTTTTATTACACGCTGAAAGGAGGAGGTACGAAGAGGGAACTACGGTACAGCTCGCCAAACGGTCGAGTCTTTAGTTCTCTCCTCACGGCATGTAAATGGTGCGTTGGGGCTAATGCCGTGACTTTAGACGATGTAATAGGCAAAATGGGCGAACGTGAACTCCCGAGTATGCTGAACGAGCCCTTGGAAAGTGAAAGTGGTGTTGTGAAGAAGAGAGGAAGGAAAAGGAAATCGTGTGTGAGTGTGACGAGTAAGAGAGTTCGGGATTTAGTCCCTTCTTCTTCCTGTAATCAAAATCCTCGAACTGTGTTATCTTGGTTGATTGATAGTGGAGTGGTTTTGCCTCGAGCTAGAGTCGAGTATCGTGCGAAAAATGGTCTGGCTATGGCAGTCGGACAAATCGGTCATGTGGGGATCGAGTGCAGCTGTTGTGGGGTAATTTTCACCCTCACGAAATTCGAGGCGCATGCCGGAAGCACAAATCACAGGCCATCGGCGAATATATTCTTGGAGGATGGACGGTCCTTGATGGAGTGCCAGCAAGAACTGAGACGAGTTAGTGGCTCGACGGGTTTGAGATCAGGAAGATTGAGGACGAATAGCGTCGAGACAAGTGGCAGCGAATGGACAAATGACGACTTTTGCTCCGTTTGCCGCGATGGAGGCGAATTAGTATTGTGCGATCGGTGCCCTTCCGCTTTTCATACCGAGTGCCTTGGTCTACAGGTGTTGACTTTGACTTGTGAAATAATCTTCTTGCTCCTTTTGTTTTTATATTCTCATTACTTATGATGGTTTGGTTTTGTTTTGTTTTGTTTAATCTTTGCAGGAGGTTCCAGATGGAGATTGGTTCTGTCCGTCTTGTTGTTGTCGAATTTGTGGTTTGAGCACGTTTGAAGGAGAGATTGGAAAGGAAATAGGTTGTTCTGTTCTCACATGTTCTCAATGCGAACATCGATGTACGTTTTTAACTCTAATGGGTTTATACGTTTTCACTAATTAGCTTACAGTTGATGCTGTCTTGTTTCGTGCGCGCGCTCTAATTTNAGATCATGAGGAATGCCTCAGAAATAAAGGTGTTAAGAGCTGTTATTCTGGAGTAAGTTGGTTCTGTGAAGATACATGTAAACAGGTACCCTTGAAACTCTGCTTTCATACATTTAAGTAAACTTAGTCTTATTGCATAATCGTTTTGATGTAATCGTGTGTTTTTTCTGCAGATATTTTGTGGTCTGCGTGAGATTTTGGGGAAGCCGGTTGCTGTGGGGACTGACAATATGACTTGGACCTTATTGAAATACGTTAAGTCTTCTGATCCTCACGATCCATGTGCCGTATATGATGAGGAAGGTTTATTGGAAGTTTATGGAAAGCTTAATGTTGTTCTTGGTGTTATGCACGAATGTTTCGAGCCTCTCAAAGCAGCTGGCACCAGAAGGGATTTAGTCGAAGATGTTATTTTCAGCAAATGGTGAGATTTTTGTATAAAACTGGCTAATAAGTAAAATATCATCATCTTCAAGTTTTTCTTCTTCTTTTTGTTTTTTTTTTTTTTTAAAAAAAAACTCTTGGATAGAATTGTGTTGATGATGTAAAAGCTTGTAATTTCAGGTCCAGGAGCAGCCGGAGTAACTTTCAAGGGTTTTATACAATAGTATTGGAGAAGAATGATGAATTGATTTCAGCAGCTACCGTGAGGTAATTAATATTATCATATGTTGTCACATTCTTTACATTGATAACTTGTTTTTTATTCTGTGTTTATCCCTTACACGAACTTCATGTTGTGTTGACTACACAGAATATATGGCAAGAGAGTGGCAGAAGTTCCTCTTGTGGCCACAAGGTTTCGATATCGTCGACTCGGAATGTGCCGGATTTTGATGGATGAACTTGAGAAGGTACACTGCATATATATTACTTAGAAAATCTTGTGTGATTCTCTATTTTCTCCCTCAGTTTATAACACAACCTTAAAAAAAAAAACAAAAATATTAGCAGAAATGAACTTTTCCTTAAAGATTTGAGCAGGCAAATAAGATTCAACCGAGCTCGACTGAGTTCTAACCACTTTACCTTTAATTCATGCAGAAACTCGTGGAATTGGGAGTGGAGAGGCTCGTTTTGCCGGCTGTTCCTAGCGCAATCAGCACTTGGACTAATTCATTCGGATTTTCCGAGATGAACGAGTCAGAGAGATTGAAGTTTCTTGCATGCACTTTCTTGGAATTCCAAGGAACAGTACTTTGCCAGAAAATTCTAACGGGCAATCCTTCATCAGTATCGAGCCACCAATTGACGGGTAATCCTAAGACTATATTTGGTAAAACTAACTGCTGATAGTTGATAAGCTAAGTGATTTTCAAACTTATAACTTACCGCTTATGACTTATAGCTTAAAAACTAACTTTTATGATTTAGCTGAAATAAAAATTTCAATGAATTTATTTGAAAAGCTACCCAAAAAAGGTTAAAAGATGAGCTCGAGCTTTTAAAAAATGTTCGTTCTACCAAACGAAACTTTTTTGAATAGAAAAAGCTTATAAGCTATAAGCTAACTTATTTAGTTACCAAACATAGCCTAGATGTTGCGACGAAACTACTCTAATACACGGCATGCATTTAGTTTCAAACAAGGAAAAAATCTATGTTACTTATCTATGGAGAAACATTTGCATCTAATTTTATTTATTTTTTTTTTCAGGAAAAGAGGTCGAAAGCTGTTGTTATCAGGTGAATGGAAATGGAAAGTCTGAAGTTATTCAAGAGGAAAATCAAGTGGAGGAAACTGACTTTATAGGCCAAGATTCTACATGGTATGTTTCAATGTTAGTTAAAAAAAAAGAACCATAAAACTAAATAAAAGATTATGACAGGGTAACTCTGCATTGCATCAAACTATTTTANTCCAATGTACTCTTTCACCTCAATACTTACTGATATTTTCTTGGCGAATCATGTCTCGACAGGTGGATAGACGAGCTTCTCATGACTTCTTGACATTCGAGACGAACCTAACGCCAAGTGGCGGCATGTTGCTCAAGATACCGGGGTTTTAATCGTCCGATTACACACACACGTCGTGTGTGTTGATCTGACGGTTAAAACTCTTACAGTAGGGTGAAATTCACCATTTTTGCTGTGCAGATGACCAACTCTTAACAGTTTTTGTGTGTCCTGCTGATTTTCAACTTTCTCGAGCAGGAAAATTTTGGTATTATGTAACAAAGAATGTGTGGTTTCTATTTGCTTTTAGTAAAAGCAAACAATATCAAACGATATTAGTGTTTATTTATGACATATATAAAAAAAGTTAAAAAACTCACTGTTTGAAGTTGACGTTGTTCTTGCATGATATCCAAGTGTGGTCTTCCTTGGTGGAACAAATTTGGCTTGAGAGCTTCGAAAATATTTATATTCCAATAATATTGTGCAGCATGAAGAACATGAAGTAGTTTGTGAAGCCCTAAAGGCTTGAGGAAAAAAAAAAAAAATGAATGGTTTATTTATCATATGAGATTAGAGAAAACGAATTATCCTAAAAATCCGAAATCTCCCCATTTTACTTGGTCATGCATTCGATTTATTTGCCATTTTTTTTTTTCTAAGTTTCAATCAAGATCAACATCGGCTACAAAGCTACAAATATGACATCATTGTATGTACGTTATCTTTTATCAAATGCAATGAAATTTAAAAATGCATATCGAAATTTGCCATATTTTTCCACAAAGTAGTAGGAAATCTCATCACTATAATTTTGGCGGACAAATTGAATGAGATTTGTCAAATATAATTTTATAAAAGTATGGTTTAAATTTTGTGTGTAATTACATAAAATGATATAATTTCACATCTTACAATTTGATGATCCAACTCGACTAGTAGTTAATACTACATCATTGTACTTTGTATTCATGATCATAAGTTCATAACCTCAATAGTGATCAATCATAATGAATGTACAAGAAAAATGGCATATATCAAGATGAGAAATAATGACTATCACTAACACTCAAATAAATTTCACATAAAAAAAATGTAAAAATTAAGTCATCTATTCATCACTTATTTCCTCCACCTTTTATTTTTTTATTCAATGCTCGTGAATTATTATTATTATTATTATAATATTTAACTTTGGGTTTGATTTGTACCACAATTCCAGAAAGGCACAAGCTGCATCTGTTAAATATATATAAGCTGGGGGTGAGCAAAACCGAGCCGAAACCGAAAAATCGAACCGAATCGATGTGTTAGGTGCGGTTTTTCAAGGTTCGGTTTTCAGTGTAGTTTAAATATTAAAAAAAAAGGTTCGGTTGTCCGAATGATGCGTTTTTAACCGAACCGCACCGATTTTTTCTTTTTTTTTTACAAATATAAAATATGTTAACATGTTTGTATTGTACATATACATGCTCGTCTTGGGCCTTTAGTTTGGGATGACTAACATTAACAATAAATAAGTAAAGTAATAAATAATAACAATAACAATTAAAAATTAATAACATTACATTAAAATATAATTTTTTGCCTTAGTTTTTCACTTTCAGTTCAAATTTTGGGATTTTAGTTTGGTAATGTTGCATATAGATGATGATGTAGCTTCATTTTATTTTGGGTGTTTCTTTTATTTATTTTTTTTAAATTTGCGGTTAACTGAAACTGCACCGCACCGAACCGAAAATTTCGGTGGGGTTTCGGTTCGGCTTTTTTACATGTTTCGGTACGGTTCAATTTCGATAAACAAAAAAATTCGGTTTTCGTCTTTTGCGGTTCGGTACGGTTTTGCACCAAACCGCACCATGCTCACTACTTAAGCAGAAGTCAAATTTCTCAAAAGTAATGGGGCACAAGTGCGAAATTCACAAAAAACACAGGGAAGCAAAATGCAGTTATTCCCAAACTATGGCGATGCCGAAAAACAGAACAAAATTTACACGCGCGCGCGTGCTGAGATGATTCAAAAATGGTGCTCAAGGCTCCGCCATGCGGCGGCCCTTTATTCCGTTCCTAAGCCTCACCACCACCGTCACTCTATCATTTCCGGTCGCCTTCTTCACACTTCCCCCAACTTTCTGCACAAACCCCACATATCCTCCCATTCCATAATTTCCCCCAATTTCAAGCTTCCTCTCAATGCCCCTCCCTTTCCGCAGCTAGGTCACTCCCGTCTCTGTGAGTACGAAAGCCCAGTTTCACGACCTCTGGTTTTGTTTTGTCCTTTTTGTTGTTTGTTTCTAGCGATGTTTTCGTTAATGGGAGACTTGCTCTTGCTGTGCCTTTGCGTTTTATTCATTGAGCTGTCTTGCGAATTATTTGATTATTTTCTTTTTTCTTGTTTGGTGGGTGAATATCTGCCCACATGTGTTAACTGTGTGATGTTGTTTTTATCCGAATGTGTAGTGAAATTTATTAGTATTTCATAGATATGGAAATGCCTAGTTTGCTTCTACAATTGGCGTCTGTTGAAGATTGGGTCTGATTCATTAGCTGCAAAGGTTGTCCCTAAAGTGTCGTGCTTTGGAGGGATTTATGGTTTGAAATACTCATAACGATTAGAATCTCCATTGGCCTTTGCATTTCATTTGGGGTCTTGGTGATGAAACATGGTGAAGTGTTCATTTTAGCTCTGTCCACAATCTATGGCTGCTTGACTAAATGGATCGAGTATTGTAGTTGATTTTCTCGTTATTTTCAGGCAGTATGAATGTGCACGCACACTGCTAAATACTTGTAACATAATGTTATTGTTGGAGTTATTTTGGGTTTGCTAAAATGGTAACTGGTGTTCTTTTTTTCTTTCTAAAATGGTGGTGTTTTCAGTTGATCCAAGTGCGGCATATCACTGTCAAGCAGAGGAAAAGGAAGTTAAAGAGTAGGAAGCCAAGGACCCCTGTAATTTCACTGTGTCACACTAAAGCCACCATTTATCCGTTGTATTTCACTAATGTTTATGATTTGCGAGAATTCCCAAAGAATATTGATTTTACTAAAATTTATGAATTAGGTCGTTTAAAGGAAGATTTAGGGTAATGAATGATGGAAAGATCAGGCGCTGGAAGGAGGAGAAGAGGCATAATGCATTCTCAAAGGTTTGCGGTCTTTTGCATCTTGTCGAAAACTTTAGTTAATACTACCGTGAGACAGATTTGGACTTTAGAAAGACTGTTCCCTGCGAATGTTGCTTGTCCATGCTTGTTTATAAATGATGTTAATGGACTTTGCAATATAGTGTTTCTTTATTGTCTGTGTATGTTTAAATTTTTCTGTATGAGTTTGCCCATAGACTTGCTGGGATTGTAGTTTTATACTCTCCTACTTAATGCATGCTATCCGTTGATTACAATTTTCTTTGTAAAATCAAGTTTTCATGCCAGTTGCACTACAATTTTACTTATGCCTCAAAAAACAAGATATTTCATAGCCTTATGAACTGAAGGTTACTGAAGTACATTTACTCACCTAAAATGCTATGCTAGTTTCTTGATTAATAAAACCACATAGATATGAAAAAGGAGATCTTCAGTAGGTAAAGATCTTAAAGTAGATTAGATGACGATGTTATATTTTTCATATAGATGCTTGTTAATAACTAACTTTATTTGATACTTGTTATTCCCCAGTAATAGTAGAATTGTCTATTTGACACTCAGGACTAGCCTCATGAATTTCAGAAAAGATTCACGGCAAAGGGTTAACACTAGTTCTGTGACTTCTATTTATATTGATCAAGTCTTGAACAGTAGGAGATACGGGTAGATTATATCGTTCTGTGGATGCCCCAAAAGATGCTCTAGCACTTGCAGTTTTCATATTTCAATAATCATACAAGTTCACATGCATCTGCAGATGATCCGATATTTGATCGAAGTACGTTAATAAACTCGTTTCCTGTCAAATGCTTACGCAATAATTGAATGATGATCTTTTAATATTCTCTTTGATAATCTCAAAAACTCAAACAAACTTTCAAGCCACAACACTAATTGGCAAAGTACCCCTTTATGACCCCACCTCTATTGAGCGACTCGTAATTTGGCGAATAATCGAACGCGACCCACGAATTCTGTTTAGGCTCCCATCTATACGCACTCTCCTCATCGAATTTCCAATCGCAGGTCTTGTACTCGTCACTCGTGCAGTCGTAGTTGTATTTGTACGCGACAAACGTGCCCATATTTGTCGAGCAGTTGAACATGGTGGACGATGGGTAGATCACTCGTTTGTGGACTTTGAACATATACTGGCCGCCCGATTGGAGGTGGACCACGTCAAAATTGTCGTCGAACGAGAAGCAACGTATGCTGAGGTAGTTTGTGTGGTTGTTGGTGAGCACGACTGTTTTTCCCTCGTCCTTGGGCTTCGCGTGGGCCCGGCCCGGAATGTCGGCCATGAGGGCTGCGGCAGCAGCCACGAGGAGGAGGAGGATGGCCAAGTTCATGGTGGCGCTTGTGATTTTGATTTTTTATTTATCCTCCCTTTTTGTCTGCTGATATGAGGTATGGTTTTCAAATTTTAATCTAAGACAAGACAATATACATATATACACACACATAAAATTGCATATAAAGGCACCGACTTTAAGACTTTTGCAATTTCATCACCACCTTTTTCTATTTGCGTTTAAATCACCACATTACATATGTTTTGTAGACAAACCATAAATTTAACTTTCGTTAGATTATAGCTGACTTGGCACGGACGGAAAGTCCAGGTGGCTGACTCCGCAAAGACGGAAAGTCTAACGGAAGTTGACGTTATGTTTTGATCTGCCAAATGTATGAAACAAAATATATGAAAGATGGTGATTCAAACACAAATAGCAAAAGGTGGTGATTAAATTGTAAAAGCCTTCAGGTTGTGCCTTTATATGCAATTTTGCCATGCATTTTGTGAACTACAATACATTATACGTAAACCCTTTGTGATTAATCTTCAACATTTGAACAAACAGCAAAGAATATAGAATTCGACAAAAAAGAAACACGAGGAACAAGAACAAATAGATTGATGCATGATGATGAAATACCTTCCCTTTTTCTTGAAATGGGAAGAACCTGGATATTTTAAAGCTGGGGATCTAAATGGGAGAAAAAATGTGAGGTTTTTGAACAAGTGAGGAAGAAAATGCATGTGGTTCTGGTTTTCCTTTCAGATACAATAGTCTTAATGGGTGGTGGTTATTAGTTTTATTGAGAATTAATTGTATTCGTTCTTTCAACCTCATCCTTTTTAATTTATTTTACTTGTTTTTTTTAAAGATTAATTTAATTTTGTCAATATTAATCATGTTGGCAGCGTAAAAATAATTGTGTTGATAAGTAATAGAAAACTTTCTTGTTATTTTTTCATAGATTTATTCCAGGAGATTTTATTAAATCAAAAGATCAATGGTCGTTAGGATTTAGGATTACATGTCCACCAACATATTTGGTAACCAAAGATTACCACATATACAACATACACAATATTATTTTTTTTCTTTCTCAACTTATGAGAATATTTATAAATACAACAACACTGCAGTGAGAAAAAATGAAAAATAAATCCACATAAAGTAATTTAAAAGAAAAAAAAAAAAAGAATTTAGGTCTTCGTAGCCTCCAAACGAGCCGCGGTTTTGCTAGAGGTAAGCTGCTCGTAAAGGTCCCTAATCTTCAACCCAATGATCGTCTGAAAAAGTCCGGTCCCATTGTTGCTGCCAGGGAAATCCGCATGCTTTAGCATTTGCTGAGTGACTTCGCCGTAGAATTTGCTCGAGATGTTGCTGAGGTGGCTCTCGACGTATATGAGCTCGTCCAGCCTATCAAATTGGCCGTCCATCTCCAGAACTGAGACCTGCAGGTTATGTAGCAAAAGGATACACTGGACAGTGAGAATTTCCTTTTCAAGAATTCGAGTAAATCTTTTTTCTTACGGATTATGGGCTAATCAGTCGTATAACTCAACTTAACTCAACTCAATTTTTTTCAATATTATCACTATAATTAAATAATATTAACCAACCATCCGCACACATCACATCAATTTTAATTCATTATTCATCAACTAGCATAATTTTAACTACTCAGTCACTTTTAATCATCTCTCTCCTGCTTTTTACGTCATATTACCTTTAATTATTATATTTTAAATATTATTTAAATACAAACTAAAAGTCTCACCCAAGCTAAACTCAATCATTTAGTTTTATTTGTTAACTCACTTTATCCAATAAATCCAATTAAATTCAAAGTAACTTATATCCAATCAAACCCTTAGTATTTTTAAGGACATAAGTCGATTATCACGTTAACATCCATTAATGTAGATATTCTTGTACCTCGTGGCCATAGTAAGTGTCGGGACCGTAGGTGAACTTGATGCCGGGGTACGAGCACGTGAGCTTGCGGCCGCAAGGTATCCATGAGATGGTCGAGCCCTCATCGAATAGGTAAACCGGGTTAAAAAACTTGACCCCTTCTTTCTGAATCAACCTTACTCTTAAGTACTTGCCCTCATTGTCATCTGGGATGAGTTGGGTGGGCAAAACTTCTATGACTGCATCTGCATATTGCTTCTGTGGGTCTGCATTCACATATACACAAAGTGTCACGATGAGGCTCATTTGCTACGTTTAGAGGTTTGAACCTCATCCAATGGACTTGTTTGGATGTTAGCGGATTGAACCTTATTTACATGTTTGGCCCGTCAAATTAAATAGCTTTTTAAGGACAAAATGTTAATTATGAAAAGGCTTGAGACCGTTTTGATAAAAGAGGATTCGTAGAATAATACGTCAAAATAAGATTTTCAAAATAGTTATACAATTGCTATTTACTAAAAAATTACTTACAATTTACAAACAGCTAGTCAAATCAGTTATTACAATCCGTCATTAGCTATACAAATCACTATTTACCAAATAGTTGCTTACAAACCGTTATTACAATCCGCTAGTCAAATCAGTTATTACAATTCGTGATTAGATATTCGCTAATATCGTCAGCTATCAGCTAATTGCAAAGTAGACGTGACAAATTTGAAATAATTTGGAAAAACACGGTTTATACGAGTTTAATGCTTTTTTCAGAAACAATTAGCCTTATGAATGAGAAACATTTGGGAGTTTGGTGACAATATGATGATTTTTTAACAACACATACTAATAGTTTTTTTTTTAACCATCCAATTTTATAAATAGAACACATAATTACAAAAGTAAGTTTTTAAAAATTTGGAGGACTTTTTGTTGTACAATAGGCTGATATT